TCCTATTTGGCTAAATCTTTGTCTGCATAGATCACAGCAGAAAGGTTTCTCTCCTGTGTGGATTCTCATGTGTACATTTAAATGTATTTTTTGGCTAAATCTTTTTTCACATAGACCACAGCAGAAAGGTTTCTCTCCTGTGTGGATTCTCATGTGCATGTTTAAAGTTCCTATTTGGCTAAATCTTTGTCCACATAGATCACAGCAGAAAAGTTTCTGTCCTGTGTGGATTCTCACGTGTCAGTTTAAATCTGCTTTTTGGCTAAATCTTTGTCCACATAAATCACAGCAAAAAGGTTTCTGTCCTGTGTGTGTTATCATGTGTGTGTTCAAAGTTTTATTTCCAACAAATGTTTTGCCACAGCCTTCACAGCTAAACTTAACTCCTGTCTGGACATTCCTTTGGGAGTTTACATTTTTCTTCTCTGCAAAACATTTCTTGTCATCCAGCGAGCGTGAAGACGCTTCTTCTAAATTAATCGTGTCTTTCTGAAAAAAGTGATGGCGAACAAAATGTTCAGCAAACTCAGAAGAGCTAAAGGGTTTGTTAACATTGTTTTCATCTGATTCATGAGCTCTGCTCTCCTTCCAGTCATTGTCTATGTTCTTAGTTTTCAGTCCAGAGCCCGAGTGTTTCAGTTTATTGCTCTCCTCATCCTTCTTAGTGCCTTCAGTCTTTAAGGCTATGGAACGATCTCCATGATCTTTTATCCTGATGGATTCTCCTCCAGTTCTCTTTTGGAAGCTCTCTGCCATTAATTTGTTCTGGATAAAGCTGTAAGAGCAGAGGGGACTGTTTATCATTCACACTCTGTATGGGAGTAGCAGTGACTGGAAGACTGATGGCATCAATCTCGTTCCCATTGAGCTGCTCTCCCCCCAGACTGGTGCAGACTTCCTCCTGTTCCTCCTTTATATGGTGGAGCCTTGAGTCATGCAGGTCAGCACAAGGTATGTGGTCTACATGAGCTTCTTCTTTAACCATCGGCATTTGCTTAACATCTGCAGGAAATATTGAACACATTATACACGTTAGAAAGTATTTTGACTTTAGCTTGGACTGAGTCGCTTTTTAATAAACATATTTAGGTGCTATATTTATATTAATTTGTTTCTTATGCTTTATTTATCCTTTATTTTGTTGTTGTTATGTCTCTTCATGCATGTCAACACTGATTCACTCAATCTCAACTACATGTTGAAACCATTTTAGTCTTCCCATGTAGCATGTTTTCGGTCTCTATCTCACTTGAATACTATTGTTTCCAGTGTGCTGCAAAATTCGTA